CAAAGTAAACCTGACAGGGGATGTGGCAGAAAAAAATAATTCTCTAAAATATATGATAATCCTCCCCCTCCCCAAGGATTTCTGTTACAATTCCAAACGTTGTAAGAAAAGACATCATTATTATAAGGTACCTTCAGCCTTCAACATTCACATAGAGCACTAAACCACAGCTGAGTAAAATCTATCGTGAAAGTGATGGAAATAAATCGGATCAATTGTGCCTTCAAAACCACAGCAGTATTAGATAAATTAGCCCATGTTAAAGAAAAAAAAAAAATTACACATACCCTCCTCCGGAAGAGAATGCTGATGGGGCATCTGAAGAAGTCTGAAAAAAAAAAAATTGAAACATTAAGACAATTCTGAAAAGAAAAACCAACTACACATTTGTTGACGAAGGCTGCACACTTTAGATCACAACTTAAATTTTCATAATGGCTACTGCATTCAAAGTGTGTGCGCGCATGCGTGTTGCGTATGTGTGTGTGTACTGTTTGAAAGCAACAGGCTGGCCCCTGCAGTGCTACACACTTTTTTTACGAAGTCGATTTTAGACCCCATGCATTCTCAAAATTGGACTTCTTGGTACTTGACTACAAACTCTTGAGATCCCAGCATCTTAACTTGGTGCCAGTTCACTCAAGGGTCCCCCTCAGTGTCTCCCACCAGACTGGTCTGGCAACTGTTCCACTTGATGGTCTACTAATCTATTTTTACAATCAACAACCCTGACACTAGCCTTAACGCAAAATTTTTCAGGAGACCGAAAAATTTTTTCATTCATTTAACTCACTCGTCCCCTACCTCGCAAATATTGCATACAAATCTATGTACTCTTATGTCAATTTAAATTCCAAACAACCAATGGAATCAAAAATCAAGAATTTTTTATTTTATTATTTCATTTCAAATCTAGTAGGGGTTTTTTGACAAGCAAAGACATCCCCCCCCCCCCCAGATTTTATATTATCAAGAGTACTTTGCAGGTCTTTTAGCACCACAAGCCGAACAGCTGTCTGATGACAGGTAGACTACCATTAATCAGGAAGACGGTCAACATCGCGGGTGAGAATAATCATCATCATCATCCAGTGCCAGATCTGCGACAGACATCGGCGATCACGGTTTTCCATTCATTCCTTTGCTCGGATGCTCTAAAAAAAGCTACATTTCCCCTGTTACCCATTTGTTTAGGTTCCCTAAGTAGGTTGGTCTGGGCCTACCCCTGCTTCGCTTACCCTCAATTTTGTCAGTGAGAGCTAGATGTTCAAGACCCTTATGTCTATTCAGGTGCCCCAAAAACTGCATTTGTCGTTTCCTGATATTATAATTTTTTTTCCACTGAGAATAACGACAGCCTAAAAAAACCAACATATCTGCCGACAGCCGACACCAGTATTTTCGGTAGGGCTGGGTACTATTCATCACC